CAGCGGGGCCGGGGCCGGAGCCGCAGCCTGGGTGTCCCCCCCCGCTCCCCCCCTGCCTCCCGTGTGGCACCGGAGAGGCCCGGGTTGACTTGAATTCAGGCAAAAAAGGTCAAAAGAGTCCGTTCGAGGCCGGCGCGATGCTGTGAAAGGGCCCTTGGCGGAGGGACCAGACGCCGCTGCCAGGTCTTGCCCAGCAGCTCCCGTCCCCGCAGGCCGCCGAGGCGTGGGGCGTGTTTGCAACCACGGTTGAGAGCCAGGGTGACAGGGTCTGGCGTTTTCCAACCCAACGGAATCAACCCAAATGAGACAGGTTGGGGGGGGGCAGGGGACACGACACAGGTCAACTCTGGCGCGAATCGGTGGCAGTTCCCCTTTGGACCCTTTCCAAAAGGGGTTCAAACCTTCGCGTTGTTTCCAATTCAAAAGTCATCTTGCTTTGCGTGCTTTCAAAAATGCATCCCCAAGATGAAGCAACTATGCAACGCTGAGATGTCGATACGAACTGACGCCGCTCACTTGTTTACACCTTGAATGGACGCGGAGCACCGCGCTGAGAGGCAAAAATGAAGCAGTCAGCTTTTTTGTGCCTTCTGAGCATTGATCCAAAGTGAAAAAAAGCATCTTTAGTTTTCTTATAGGAGGGGAAAAAAACCCCACCTGTGTTCCTACCTGCTCCTCAGAAGGGAAATTTATGCCCCCTTTGCCAGGTACGCGGTGCCAAGCTCGGCAGGACCCAGGATGACCATGTGGCCCAGCGCTGCAGGTCGTGGCAGCATGAATGCTGCCTCAGCAAGCGAGATACCCTCCTGAGCTTAGTCACAGCTCAGCAAAATGAGCACACGAGGAAATACTCCTAGCTGGAAAACCACAACCAGGAGCCCCCATGGTCAAGCGAGGCCCCCCGGGGTGGTCACACTGTGCTGCCCAGGCTCTGCACTGAGCGGCCGAGGTGTGAGGCAGCTCCTGCTCCTTTCCTTTGGGATGTGGCTGGGTTGAGGGCTTCAGGATCTGGCCTGATGTTAATAACTGGCCTCAGCACCCGGCGTTCCAAGAGCCATTGTGTTTCTGCCAGCACCAGTTGCTTCATCAGCTCGGATATTTAACAGTCAAATGAATGAGCAAATGGAAGTGTGAACGGTTCCACACCAGCCGTTAAGGCTGCACATACTGCGCACAATGTGCTAATCCCCCCTGGCCGTAATTGCACCCCCAAGCTCTGGGTGATTTGGCGCACAGGACTGAAAGGCTTCTGCTGTTTGTGCTGGGCGGCAGAGCCGGCTGGATCCCCCCGGGGCAGCTGGTGCTGACCTGAACCATCCCTGCTCAAGAGACTGGGAGGGGATAAGTGCGGTCCTGCCAGCTGCTGCCTGGCTGCTGTCTTTAGGGGCTTGGTGGTCACATCACCGGAGCATCTTAGGACAAAGGCAGAAAGATGAGCACGCACCAGCACTATGGCACGGGGCCCTGAGCTCAGTTCCTGGCCCCGGCACTAACTCTGGTGCAGTCTTACCCCTCCGGCACAGGTACATCTGCCACGCAGACAGCTCAGCGACCTCAGAGCCTCTCTCAGCGGCATGAATTACCCCACAAATCTGCTACACGGCATCATGGAGACCTTCCATGGGATGGCCGTGCAAGCAGACTGGTGGAGCGCAGCCTGGCTCTAACCCGCAAAAACGCCAAAAAGCAGAAGCAACTGAGTTATTCTGACTTTTATTTCATTGCTTCTTAGTCCACACAGTCGGTATAAAATCAGAAAAGCAAAGCAAAGCAAAGCAAAGCAAAAAAAAAAAGAAAAAGAACCAAAAAAAACCCCAAAATGAAACAAAAACGACAACAGCAACACAGTGTCTGGAGTCCTCAGAAGGCAGCCTGGGCTCTGCGCAGGTGCCCGTTCAATTCATGGCCAGACACATCGCTGACGCACAGACAGAGGACAGACATCTCGCTCCGGCAGCGAAGAGCAGCTGGGCTGCACCCAGAAAAAAAAAAAGAAAAAGAACCAAAAAAAACCCCAAAATGAAACAAAAACGACAACAGCAACACAGTGTCTGGAGTCCTCAGAAGGCAGCCTGGGCTCTGCGCAGGTGCCCGTTCAATTCATGGCCAGACACATCGCTGACGCACAGACAGAGGACAGACATCTCGCTCCGGCAGCGAAGAGCAGCTGGGCTGCACCCAGAGCTGTTTCTGTTCCTCTTGACCACGGTGGGGGGAAAAAAGGAACCTCAGTTATAAATGCTTTATTAAAAATAATAGTAAGAGCAAATCCAAGTACAAAAGCAGTTATAGCTCATTTATATTACACAGAATTATTTCTCATTTCTAGCTTTGTTGTTTACCTCAAGATTGTTAACTGAATTTCCAGTGAATAAGGTTAAATGGCTAGCAATATAAGGAATGGTAAATAGATAGCACCATTTCATACATCTGGTATTTGATTTCATAGATATACTGGGTTTGCTTCTTTCTCATCGGTAGTTTAGCTCCACGGCAAGGATAAAGCACGTTTCACGGTTGGGAGCATCAGTGCCCCGGCAGCTCGGCTCGGCACGGCACGGCACACACCCCAGCCCCACCGGCACGGGCACCGGGGGCACCCCCAGAGCCCGCGCGGGCAAAGGAGGACAGCCCGCGCTGGGCTGCAATTCAACCTAAGTGATTTAAAAGCCCAAATTCCCAGCGGGTGTGGTGGCAAGGCAATGGGACTTAGGCACATAAGTCATTTAGGCACTTGGGGCAATCAAAGCCTTCACTCTGAAATCCTTCAAACCTTTCGGAAGCGCCTCCCGTCAGATCTGGACGTGCACTTCGGTTACCAGGATCACAGCATGCGGCAGGAGCGGGGACCAACCCTCCGCCTGGCGTAAACAGGCGTAACTCCAGTTTACGCCAGCCTAAAACCAGTCAGAGCTGGGGTTTTCTGATGGTTCGATATGGGGTGGGGAAGGAGAGTTCAGGTCAAAGAGGATTTTGCATGAGAGAAAAATCACCGCGCTCTTGTTACACTGTTAGGAGTAATAGTTCCTTAGGCACTTGCTTTAGGCTTTAAAACATAGCGTATGGTCAACAAAAGCAAACAATACTATGTACATATATGTAAAAAGTGTTATAAATAGGTTTTTTAAACCATAGATACTATATACATCTTCAATTAACAAGTAACCCTTTGAGTGTTTCCTTTTGGGGTCGGTTGGGTTTGGTTTTGGTGGGAGGGTTTATTCCTTTACTTTTTTTTTTTTTCTTTTTTTTTTTTTGGTTAATTTTCTTTTCCGTTTTCTCGTCTATTTTCCCCCGCCTCCGTCTCCTCCGTGGACGTCATGAGTGCCCTTGTCACGCCACGCCGCCTCCTGCGGCATCACTCGCGCTTCCGTAGGATGACGTAGACGATGCCGCTGGCGAGGGCCAGGGGGAAGGCCAGCCACGCCAGGATATAGGCGAAGCCGTAGGAAGTGTTTTCCGAGGCTTGGTGCCAGTCCGTGTGCCTCACTGTGAAGATGGCCGCACCGCTCATCACGCAGAGCCCTGCCGGGGAAGCGCACATAGGAAGGGGTTAGCGATGCCACGCACGGAGCAGTTCCCTGCTGGAAACCCAGAGCCGGAGAGGGTAATACCCAACACCAGCATGGGAAACTTTTTATTATTGCCCCCTTGTATCCTGCCTCCTGGAAAACTACGGAATGATTTGTGGGGGTGTGATGCTGTGGGCTCTGCCCTGGCTGCAGGTGCGTGGGGATATCTCTGCCAGTCTCTGAGCAAGCACAGCCGGAGCCTCTGGAGCAAGCAAAGCTGGAGCATCGCCTGGGCTAACCCATCCCTCAGGCAAGCATCGGGCATCTCCCAGCTCCGGGCTGCTGCTCCGGACCCCACTCCCTTGGGTAGCTTATTTAAAACCCGGACTGTAGCCTGAACCACCCTACCAGAGGTGCTGCAAGAGGTCAGATACAAACCCCATTTTTTTTTTAAAGCATGAAAGTTTCTTTATCGCCTGCCCAGGCAAGCGCAGCTGGGGGCCAAGGACGCTCTGGCCGGGCAGACTCTGAGCCCTGTGATCTCCCGTCCTCCTCCGGGGCTGCGTGAGGAGCTCAACTGCAAACCCTGCTCTCTGCAAACCCTGCTGTGCCCACGGCTCATCCCTCTTCCCCAGCTCCTGGCATCCGCCCTCGCCAGCCACGGGCCAGCGCAGGTCCCCGAGGACCGGCCGGCCAGGCCCAGCTCCGGTAAGCAGCATTTTAGCTTTGTTGCAAAAACCACCCATCAGCATTGGGGACTGCCCAGAGCTAACACAAAGCCACCTCTATTTCTGCCCAAAAACAAGGTCTTTCAGTCAATCCCAGCAGTTCTATTATACAGTCGCAGGGCTGTTGTTGGAGCCGAGTTCCAAATCCCCTGCACGGACCTCGGGACCACCTACATTTAACCACCGTGATATTTGAGCTGTAATTCCACTTGACACTGCTCCTTTGTTCTGGGAAAGTGCAGAAGTGGGAATACGTTTCATTAACGTGCCGCTCGTGCAGTTTCCATTCTCTAAGCACGAGAGCCAACTCCCACTGCCCCGGCCCATGCAAAGAGAGCACAACAATTGTCTGCGGATGCTGGTGGGACAGAGAACAGGCATGCAGCCACGCCGGTCACCTACAGACAGCAGAAAATACAGTGGCAATTGTCCACATGAGGAATTTGGAAAAATGGAGGCAATGGTTTCTGCAGCATCTGCACTGATTTTGGCCCGGAGAACGTGCTCGGGAAGTGAAGGACAGCTGCATTCAGCTGCTTGCACCGATGCAAGCAATAACGCATCACTACTTTAGAGCCTGATCTTAAGAACACACTTTAGTCTTGCTTTGATAGGCCAGTGGGGCAAACGCTACCTAAAATCTGTTCCCGCAGGTCTATGCATTCAGCCCCAGCCCTGCAGACAAGCTGGGATGGGTGCTGGTGCATGCTCGTGGTCAGCTCTTCAATGCAGGGCTTTGCAAAAAGCTGCAGGACACGTGGAAGGCACAGCCCTCGAGGCTGAGCCTACCCTCTCCACCCCATGGGGACAGCAGCTCTAGGGTGGGAGGGATGAGAGAAAAGGGATAAAAGTGATGCTGAGGCTGGAGAGAGTGATGGAAAAGTTGGTCAAACCCTGAGAGGCCCAAACCACATCTCTCCCATGCTGGGCTTACACAGCTATCAGAAGTTACCCATGGATGTGATGGACCCACCAAGGATGGAGGGGAGCTGTTGAGGGCCTTTTGATGCCTCTGTGATGGCTGAAATACCATAAGGGCAAACTCAGCCAGACTTCAGGGCATGTTTCCAAGCAGTGTGGAGAAGGTGCTGGGGATGCATCCTGCCCTGCCGCTGCACAACAGACCCAACTGGCCTCGTGCATCTCTTCTTGCCCTTACCTCCACTCCCCAGCTCCCCTGAGCCACAGCTGAAGTCGTAGTGGAGACCAGGCCCTGCCCTCCTCCCTGGCTCTCAGGGCACCGCTGCCCAGCTCTGCCACCCAACAGCACCCAGTGGTCCTGCCCCTGGCACCCGCTGGTTCAGATCCAGCATTGCTGTTGATCAGGCTCCAGAACTGGAGAGCCTCAGCTTTGCCAAGCTGCATCACCCCGGGAGGAGGTGCAGGGTGATGGAGGGCTTCAGGAAGAGCCTTCTCAAGCCCTCCCAGAAGGAGGGAGGTTCTCTCCAGCTCTGCTGGAGCTGAGAACAAAGCACTCAAGTGGGTAAGACCCCGTCCCTGGCAGACCTGCAGCAGGGCTTTGTGGTGCCAGGGCTTTGCAAGGCATGGATGAACACCTGCAAAGCCTGAAGGCCACAGGAATTTCCTCCGTTGGCTTTAGACAGCAGTGGCCTTCCACAGCAAGCTGCAAGGAGACCACATCAGGTTCAGCTCCTTTGACCAGAGCTGTCCAGGTGGGATCTCCTGGCAGCGCTGGCACAGCCATGCCCCATTTCCTACCAACAACCCTGAAATTTAGGGTCACAAAGACCACAGCTGCCGTGAGCCCCCTCCTCCAGCCCTGGCCCACCTCTGCATGGTCCATCCGGACTCAGACCTCTGCCTACACGTCCCCCAGGCCACGGGGAAGCTTCATGGGGATCAGGTCACACTTTTCCTGTCCTTCATAGTGGCCAGGGATGGATTTGACCCATGCCTCATGCCCAACAAGGAAAGAGACGGTAGGTCTATGGCCTGACCCTGCATCCCCTTAGGACACCTAGCACAGCATGGACAGGAGGGTGGTAATCCCATTTTCTCCTCCTCTGAGAATGAGGAGTCACCAGCAATCACTCAGGAGAGAGAAGCCTTCTGCTCCCAGATCTATTAGACAAGCTCTCAGGCAGATAATTGCATTATTAATGCCCATTTCCCCTCCTTGTCTCCATGGCTGTAATGGGTTTCTACACATCTATCTTTCCAGAGACGGTGAACTGATCTGAACTCATCACCTGCATTATGGCCAAGCACTTATAATAGATTTCATGCCACACTTGCTAATAAAGGTTAGCTCTAAGCTTTTCCAGGGTTTGCGAAGGCCGGTCACTTAGAGGATGCTCAGAAACTTTGTCTAAATTCAGTGGATGAGTTTTTCCACCAATTTAGTGGCAGGACCTAGGGTGGCTTTTAGTTTAACATCTAAAGCTCTAGCAAACACTTAGTCTCCTTCCCAGACAGTCTGTCATAATTTAACCAGAACCTCGTTGCACAATTTAATTTTTCTAGTCTGAATGCTTGAAAATCCTCTCCTCTGGTTTCATACGTGGAAACGTAAACGGAGGCAGTGGCTTTACAGCATCTATATTTGGAGAACTGCAACGTAGGACATGAACCATGGCTCATTTCCAGCGCTGAGTTCTTTAAGAGTCAAAAATAGTAGCTGACAGTTCAAAGTCAGCTGGCTCACCCTGCACGCTCCAGCGGCTCTTTGCTGATGTGGAAAGCACCAGGCCCCCTTATGGCAAGTTTATAAATAATCATCGGATCCTCTTTTGCCAAAAGGGGATCGTCACTACTTTCCCCTCCCCGCCAGCAGTTGCGGAAACCTCGCCCAGCCCGGCGAAGGTGGGTCCCAGAGCCAGCGCAGCCACCCTGGACTGTCAGCACCCCACCCCGCGCCACGGGAAGAGCAGGCAGAGCTGCAGGATGACTCGCCCTCGGTCCGGCAGCCCCCGCGCCCTGCCTGCTCACCACCCGGGACCGCCGGCACAGCTCTGCCTCCGGCTCAGCAGGTCCGGCCCCTCCGAAACCTCCCCAGCTGGGGCAGCAACCCTCTTGCACCTTCCATGATGCAAGGGCAGAAGAGCTTGGATGCATTATGTGCCCTGACAGCTGGACCCCATCCTGGGGTGTGTGAGACCTCAACAGACCCAAAATACTCATCCCCCTTTCCCTTCACTGAGCCATGCAGGAGCCAGTTAGGTGGCCATCCTGCTTCAGTACCCAAAAGCATGCTCGCTTCCACCATTACCTTCTCCTCTGCTTGAAAGCCCTTTCCCCACCGGTGACAGCCCCGTCAGCCCCCACTTACCAGCAAGGATTTGGAAGATTCCAGTAACGTAAAACCGCCCACCCTTGGTGAGCGTGAACAGCTGGCAAAAGAACAGGAACAGGGACAAGACGCTGAAGATGATGGAGAGGATCATCATCGCTTGGACAGACTGCAGCCATTCTGGGGAAAGACAGACAGATGGAAACCTCAGTGCGGGCACCACAGACAGCGAGCCCCCACCACAGCCCGTGGCCTCGGCGTCATCCCCCGTGCCGACAGCCCACTCCTGGTTCCCATTAAGTTTCTTAACAGCTGGGGGATGTGGCCACATCCAGTGCTGTACCAGCTGGTGAGGTCCTCAGCACGGGCACGATGCTGCCTGGGATTTAGGATGACATGCGCATGGACCAGCCTGCTGGGGTAAAATAAGTTGCAGGGCCACGCACTTTCTCAGGGAGCATTTATAATAAAATATGAGCAGAGATATTAGCCCTGATCTGAAGCCTGCAAAAATGAAGACAAAGCCTCTCCCCCAGCTTCATGTCAGGCCCTGGGAGTTCTGCTGTACTAGAAACACAAAAGCCATGTGCAACAAACCGTGAGACACCGAGCTGGCCAAGCTCAGAGGTAAAATAAATACACAGCAAGTGAAAACACCCTCTGCCCTTGTGGAGTCAAACCTTTTGGAAATAGCCTTCCCCAGCTGCCAAACACAGCTGCCTCCCAGAGCAGACCAGTTAAACCAGCCCCTGCGTGAGTCACTGCCCAGCTATTTCCAGGCTTCGTGGGTGTGTAACTCCCCACGTAAAAAAAAATATAAATAAACAAGCAAAATGCTGCTCCATCCCATGAGCTGCCGCAGCTTGACAGAAAGAGGCAGTGCTTCACAGCACCGGGACGGGGCCGTGCTCACAAATACCTCTGCCTTTCCCTTTCCTTGTAAAGTTTGAGATCAAAATGAGTATTTGCAGCCTTCCTTGAGAGGTCTTCAAGGATGCAACTTCGATTAATTCACCACGAAGGTCAGCCAGGACTCGGTACAGGTAAACTGAGGCCCAAACCACCCAGTGAAGGGCAGAAAAATCATGCTTTGGGCTGGATCCTCAGACAGGGGAGAATTAGGCAGCACTGAAGTCTCAGTCCCAGTCCCGTGTTCCTGCCACAGTTTTATTCCCACCAGCTTCGCTCCCCCGGCTGCACGCTGCAAGAAACGGCTTTCTGCAGCAAATAGCTGAAACATAGCAAAACTTCCAAATAAAGCTATGCTTCAGCTTAGTAACCTTCAATACTTGGTGCAGCAAATGAGGCCATTTGGGACTGCCCAGAGCAGCGTCTGCTCCCAGAGAAGCGATCACGCTTCCCCACCAAATCCTCGCAAGCTGCACTCACGGAGGTGAGAGCGGAATTTGAAGCAGAGAGCGAGGTACAGCCTTCAGCCAGGATGGCAATGATGATCCACACCTCAGCCCTTCCAGCAAATCCATGCCTGCGGGGAACATGCCGTGCAGTTTAGTAACGTCTGGCATGTTTGACTTCGGACCATCAACTCTACCCCTTGCCTTTGCATCTTGCCTCCTGATGTTCATGCAATGGGGCAAATTCAGGCCCTGCTCACCAAAGCAGACTGAAACCACCCAGAGCGGCCCCTGCTCATTGCAGACAGCTTTTTCCTTCCCCTCCTTTTCATGCTTCCCGCGCCAAACTACTCTGCAGCATTAACGGGCTGTGCTAAAGAGCTGCTGCGCTTCACTCGTTTCAATGCTGCCAGCTATCACTGCTGTCACTGCCAGGAAACCCCAGTGTGGCACACAAAATGTCCCATATATTTCCTCTGTCTCAGCTGGCCAGGCAGGGAAACCCCCCTGCCTCGACCACACCTGACCCTTCAGCTCTGGCCATGCTAAACCAGTGGGCAACAGAGGGGATGAAGCAGCTCAAGCACTGCTAAAAATCAAGTCATAAATCATCGCCCAGATGGGGTCAGAGAAGTATGGTTAACGGGCATCCAGCTGCTGAATTGCAATCTCCTTCCACACGTCAGCACAGAAAGGGCTCCCATCCCAGGTCTGGGAAGTTGAGCTCTTGTCTCACCCTTTCCTGAGCCCTAAAGCTGGGTCCAGCTCCGTGCACCAGTGGAGCCAAAGCCTGCCCGGCCCCAAGCCCTGCAGTTCAGTCCAGGACCCAGGAAGCCAAGTCTTTTGTGATTTCAAAGGCCATGGGATCCGGCCGGAGAGGAGCCCTTTCTGCTCGGAGGTGGATGCTCCAACTGCCGGTTATTTTAGGAGAAGGCTGTCTAGACGGAAAGTTGAGCCGAGCTGCCCTTTTAATTGCATCCGCCTCCCTGTGCCTCTTTTTTGGTTCTGAATGTGAGTGATTTATATGGGCTTTTCAAAATCCCATTGTAATAAAGAGCCACGTCAGAGGAATATAAAGACAGGCACTGAGAGAGGGGGAAAGCCCACCGTGACGAGGGATTTCAGCAGCCAGCCGTGCTGCTCTGCTGCAGCCAGAGAGCAGCAGCTGCACGAGCTTGTGAGCAGGGAAATCAAGAGATGATCCCACAGACCAGAGCTCTGGGCCTGCTCACATCCAGCCCTTTGCTGACTTTTATTGGCCTCCTTTGTAAAAACGAGGGGAAGGATCCCCCAGCTCATGACTCAGAGACCCACAAGTGCGAGCGGCTATACTCCCATTAAATCCAAGCCCAGCTGCCCACAGACTTCAGCTGTATTAGGCTAGCTGATTGCCTGTAATTCACTTGAAAATACCACTATAACTGCAGATAGGATTGCTACCTCCTCAACTCCATATGCTTTTAACTCCTTTGCTATTAGCGCTGTGTCCTACCTATAGGCTTTTAAAAATAAAGCGAGTTTCCTACAGGGAGGTTTGGGCCCTGTGAGTTGTACTGCGGGGCTGTCAGCGCTGTTTACTCCGACTGTCATTTGTGGTTTCCCCTGGTCAGTGAGTCGGTTATTCCATTTTTCTCCTGCATCTCTTCAGCTCCGTGTTTATATCTTTGTTCTTCAGGAGGAGGAAGAAAAGGAAACAGAGTGGAAAGGACAGATAACACCCTGCACGCCGCTTCCGGAGAGGACCCATCGGGAGCGTTTTTAGCGCCCTTTCAGGCAGTCGGAAATGAAGTAAGAAGTTTTTACAAAACAAATTTGAAAATTTCCCTAAGCTCTGCAAGCCCTGATGTGCTTACGCCACCACTTACAACAGCAGGGAAAAGACTTCACCCCTGGGATGCTGAAGTCCACATTTCACTGCCCTAAAGTCTAACACGAAAGAAAGAAACCCAGAGCAGAAATTGAAACCCAGAGCAGAAATTGAAACCCAGAGCAGAAATTGCAGCTGACCTGCCCCCCC